ACAACTATAATTAATGAATGATACATATTTGGAAAGCTTAGAGTCTCCTCTTTCATGTGATGCTACTCAGATGATGCATATTTCACGCATGAGTGATTAAAAGCAATTTGAAGGAAGGAAACCAACATATTGCTCCGATTGTCTCATTTTCGCTCGCGTGAACATTGCCAGCACAAACCACTGACCTCTACCTCCTACACGGATCATCGCACATTCCCATTCACTATACGTTACGTACTAAAAGGCTGTATTGTCTGACCGTTCATGAATATTCATGTTTTTGCTAAACTCGGCAAAATGTTTGCTTTTACTAAATGGAAAAATTACGGTGGGGGGTTGGATGAAATGGACAAAACGAAATAGGCAGAAGTGATCTATGATAATTCATGCTTTTTATGTTTCGTGTGCTCGACCTATAATCTTCAAATCGCTTGGTAAACTGAGTCCAAAGTTAGACTTGTTTCACATGTGTTTTATAGGCAATGACGAGCTTGCAACCTATTTTGAAAAATTACGGTGGGTGAACTTTCAAAAGTCAATTAGACATGAGGGCTCCAATGAAAGAGCTAGTGATAACGTACGTCGGGGTGGATGTGCTTTTCGTTTAAACAAAAAATAAATTTTTAACGATTTTTAAAAAAAACGTCCATAGGCTAACATGTTAGGCTGCTGAATCTGACCATGCTCTGACGATAGGGGGCGTTGTGAAAGGAGACTAAACGGAGCCATATGAAAGACATTTGGCGGGCGGTATCTAGATTTCGAGAAAAAATTCACATTTCTAGAAAGTTGAGTTTCTGCCCTTTTATATGACACCTCAATCAGGAAAAATGAGCGAGGAATGACAAAGTTCTGTTTGTTTAAAGTAGTGCTTGCATTTCCATAATTTTATTAAACGAATTCGTTTTCACTGGCTGCCTGCCATATCAATAAACGAAATTAACAAAAGACTTAACTCCGTTTCATTGACAATCAGCCGTAGACGAGAGTCTTCATGCATGGCTGATTGTCAACGAAACGGAGTTAATATAAGTCTTTTGTCAAATCTGCTTTTTGCTACGGCAAGCACCCAGTGAAAACGAATTCGAAATTCAGATACCGAAATTCAGATACCGCCCGCCAAATGTCTTTTTGGTTTCCTTCCTTCAAATTGCTTTTAATCACTCATGCGTGAAATATGCATCATCGGAGTAGCATCAACTGAAAGAGGAGACTCTAAGCTTTCCAAATATGTATCATTCATTCATTATGGTTGTGATTAAGTTATGATAAAACATCGATACTTCTCGGTTTCGCTTTTTCTGGGACGCACTGTATTGTGTGTTATTGTTGCCATGGTTGCAGGTCGGGGCAGGCACAATTGTATTCTAGGCAATACTAATCCTTTTCTTTTTTCAGGGGGACGAGCAAGTGAAAACATTTAATACAAAATAGGCTAGCAAGCAGTTCGCGCCAGCGAAGAGTTTCGAATTTGTTATATCACTTATATTTTCCTATTTTCATTTGTTTTAATTTTTCAGGGCCGTATGCGGAATATTTTTCTGGTGGGGGAGGGGGAAAGATGCGTTAAAAGTTTTCGAAGAATCTCAAAAGCAAAAGGATCGAGTGAAGGGAGTTCGAGCGACCGAACTGGTCAAGAGGGTACTTTTGCATTTTCAAAAGTAGAATTGAAGGATTTGGTATAGGCCTACACTACATTTTCAGGAAAAAAACTGTACGTTTTCAAAATATCTGGGGTCAACTGCCCCCCCCCCCTGGTGCGTACGACCATGGTCTTTTTTTTAAAAATTTCCCCATTTTTATTCGTTTCCTTTTCTTTTCCCTTTTTCTTTCTTTTCTCTTCTTCTTCCTTTTTTCTTTCCTTTTTTTCCTTTTTTCTCTTTCTTTCCTTTTTTCTTCCCTTTTCCTTTTTTCTTTTTCTTTCCTTTCCTTTCTTTTCTTTTCTTTCCCCTTTTTCTTTTTCCCCCCCTGGAGCCCGTCAGGGGGGGGGGGGCACTCTGCCCCCTGCCCCCCATAGGTACGCCAGTGGGCAACAGTTTGAGAAAGTGGGAAGGGTCATACAATATTAAATTCCCATTGGTCAACAGGTCCACTTCCTTTCATGTTCCCCCCGAACTTGAATTCAGGGAAATCCTACCAGTCCTACAGTATAGCCCGAAACATGACTCATAACTTTGATGGATTAGGCCATTTGACCAGTCTGTATTCCTGGCCGAAACCAAAACAATAATAAAATGGTCAAGGGTGTATTCCTCTTTTGTTATGTACATAACAAAGAGGAATACAGCCATATAATGATACTGAGAATCATGACGCCTACTACTTTGAAAACATTGAGAATGGCTGTGTAGAAAGACATATTGCCCCCAGGGGTAACATAAACTCACCCCTGACCATACGAAATTTGAAAGGAAATGGACATGAGAAAAGCACCTAACTAGGAATAACAAGCACTACGTGCAAAACGAATGCGATTTTCTGACGAAGATAAGAAGAATATTTATGGGGCAGAATGTGAACGAAAACAAGGCAATGACGAAGGTCGTCATCATTGCAATAACATGCAGCCTTTTCACACACAGCTAAAATTCATCGTATCTAGAGATGATTAGTATAAACGTGTTTAACTCAACAGTTTTAAACATGTTTATAGAAAATTTTCCCTGTGTGAACATCGTTTATACGATGTTGGGATAGATAATAATTTTACCCCCCCCCCCACCCTGAAAATGATCTCCCCCTAAAAATTACCCAACTTATTATCGGGGTTGACTTCCCCTTTTATTGTTCTTGGTTGTCCCGGGGGGGGGGGGGGGGGGGGTCAATGTCCTATATAGGGGTTAAGTTTCAGAGATGGGGGTAATCGTCATCGGGGGTAATTTTCTGGGCGTAGTTTGAGTCGTCGAGGGGTAATTGTCATTTGGGTAATTATCCTTGGGAGTAGTTTTCTGGGGTGTAATTGTCCTTATTATGATAGGCGAATAAGGTGGGAGGCCGGGATTGAAGCCCCCCCCCCCCCCCCCCCTCCCCCCGAAGAATGTTGCAATGATGTTTGGCCGTTCGTTCGAGCAACCGACAATTTCGGGTAACGATGTGGTCTATTGATTTGTAATTTAATGTAGGCCTACTAGTCATGAAGTTAAATTTTGTGACAAAATTAGATATGATTGATATTAAGAAATGCTTGAAGTTCGGTTCTCCGACAGTGATCCCAATGACAAAAAAATAGGTCCGGCTTTTAAAAAAGTTGCCAGGGTTGGTATAGATTTGCAAAAAGTTTGTATTCATGTTGTGTCGCCTTTTAATCCAGCGTCGTGGCTTTGTAGCGAAAAGAGTGCTTGTTTATAATACGATACAGGATGTTTCTTCGATTACACCCCTCCTTTTCCCCATTTTTCTTTTAGTCTCCCTCTTCAATTTTATATCCTTCTTTCTTAATACTTCTATGCTTTAGGCTATAATTATTTTTCAATTTTTTTTCAATTGTTTGTGTGTTATCTAATTTTACCAACATGACCAACATGAATCATGACATTTTCGCTGCCATAAATTTCCCTCAGTTGACTGTGAATAAAATAAATATAGGGGTAGAAACTAAAATCCCAGTCTGTTGTTTCATGTGAAATAAACCTATATGAATGGCTATCGAAAGAGTAGTATAAATAATACATTAAGGGCATACGCCTGTCAGGCCTTTCAAATTGCTAAGGTGATTCTTACGTTGTTAGTTTTGCGAAAGTTTTATGGCGAATAAAAGGTGAACATTTTTCATCTCTATCCATAACATAAATATCTCTCGGCAATAAAATGAATGAATATTGAATAAATAAATAGATGAATGGATGAATTTAACATGTAGCATTATGTAGAAAATGTGGGGGGGGGGCAGTGGCGGATCCCGGGGGGCCCGGCCCCCCCCCCCCCTTGAGAAAAAAAATCATGTAAAATCACGTGATTTTTACCTTTTTGGGGGGTGCAAATTGAAATTTTTTTGAGGATCAAAAAAAAAAAAATGTGCTCACTACCCCCCCCCCCCCCCCCCCCCCCCCATGGAAGTGAATCGACGACTTCGTTTTCAAGATCATTTCGGAAAGTTTTATCTTTCAAGTTGAACTATTATTATTGAATGCATAAAATACTGCATAATTTAGAACAACTAGAAAACAAAAAACACAACAACTTGAAGTCTTGAACAAATAATCAAACAGGAAACCACATTTGCGTCACATAGGCCTACCCTAAAATTGTAATGATGATGATTAAGACGATGTCGGCGATGATGATAATTCCTATGACGAAAATGCTATGCTTTTCCAACCAATATCCTAAAAATATACGCTAATTTATTTTTTAATCAAGATTTGAGAGATGTCGAGAATAATTTGCAGTTTAAAAAAAAAATTTAAAAAATGAAGTGCCATTACTCTCTTTCCAAAGTGTTTACTTTAATAGTGGTAGTTTTTTTTTGACAAAATGTTGTTATTGTGGATTTTTTTTTCTTCCCCTCTCCCGATTAGCGATAGAACACTTGATTTGAAGATTTGACTGAACACATTATTAAAACATCATAGACAAGTCGCAGGATTTTCCAAAGGCAGTAAAAAATTGTTTTTCCAGATCAGAAACTGATAAATAACAGTGCACTTGCATTAGGCCTACAGAGGCAAGGGAAGAAATAAAGAAAGAAATATCAATTATCAAAATAACATGTAGATCGAATTCTACTGGGAAGCAATTTGATTTGGCCTAACGTGTACCCGAGATGTTTCCTTTTTCTATACTTTTGATGCGCGCCCACCATCGGGCGGAATTAGGGCGGGTCTAGGCGGAATTAGGCAAGAAAAATGCCTCACGCAGACGGCGCGCTACGGACAATCGCTTATGATTTCGGGCGTAAGAATGGCATAGCTAGATTTGCTAGAATTTCGGCAACAAATTGGTATACATTAGCGCCTGTATAATTCATTTTCAGAGACGTTATCTGAGAAAAACTGCCCATCGGGCGGAAACCGGGCAGGGTACGGTACGTCAATAAAATAATTTTCCTTCTTTTTTGCGTGTTACCAGTTACCATCAAGATAATATGTAACCCCTTCACCGGCGTCAATTCTGCTCATGATACTCTAAAATTCCGAAAGCATAAATATTTTCCAAGGTTGGGGATTCTGGTGTTGTTTGATATGATTCTGATGAGTGCATTTACAAGTTTAAGACGAGTTTCAATCCTTAGTCGCCATTTTGTTGGCGTTCAACAAACGTCTAATCGACTACGTGCTTTGAGCAGGATGGCGGTGAACGAAGACGGGAAACCTACGGCGGGGATCATAAGTGAGTATCCGTCGTGTTTCGGTTGCGGTGGAGGAATTTGTGGGGCGGGTGGAAATATCAAGTGAGAAATTGTGGGTGCTTTGTCTGCTTAAAGTTAAGAGTAGGCTTATGCGAGATGATTTTTTTTGGGACAGAATATTCTGTTAGTTTAGTTTACTTTAGATGTCAATAACCAGTGGTTCTCCTTTCCTTCCAACCAAGATTCAAGGTTGAATTTATCATAGGCCTAATGATTGAATGAATGATTGTTAGAAAAACACACTTTTAAACCTGTTAAATACTAAGATCACATTTTTTTTGGGGGGGGGGGCAGGAGGTTTATTCATAAACCGGGAGATTCTACATCGTTGGCGGGAGAGCGGGAGGAAGGCGTGGTGGCGGGAGTCTCCCGCTACAAGCTTTTGGGACGGCGGGAGAATGATCGTGGTAGCGTGAGACTCCCTCCAAATGTGGGAGGGTTGACAGCCCTGCAGAAGTTGATTTCCAGGGACAGCAAATTTTACATGTGATACCAATGCATATGATTATGATAGACTAATTTAGTAGATATTAGCACGAAGACTAGTCCAAGTCAAGTGACATTCCTGACATAAACCTCATTCCAACCACTGGGCCATCTACACATGGGAATCCAGACAAGTTTCAGATCCCAAACATATTGAAAGACATTCTTTCCTGATGTAATCAGACTATGGAACTACCTCCCCTTGAGTATAGTCAACAGCACCTCCTTAGTGATCTTCAAGCAGGGGGTGCTTCGCCACTTTGTTAAGCCTCTTCTGTTTTTTAGCCGCACATACACTGTACATGTAGTATCAACTTGTGAGATTTTTACTAGCACTATTCATTTGGGCACTCGTCAAGCACAAGTACGATAACTAATACGCCAACGGCGGTCTGTACTTAACCGGAAGAAGAAGAAGAAAGAAATGAACAACACCTCAAGTTCATTTCACTTCTCTTCTAAAGTCCTAGACTGGTCTAGTCTTCAAGTGGTTTCTTGAAACTTGGCACAATTACAAATTTTTCTTTTTTATTCAAACATCAGAGGAACATTATTCATTAATGCTTAATGGGATCTTCACTGCATTTTTACACATTTAGACTGTAACTATTTTTGTTGTGGTTTACAATACATTTTGAGTGGACTTGGGATGTTATAACTAGTTTAAGTAGTAATTTATTGATGAATGTGGAGAATAGATCTTGTCTATAGACTTTTTTTGGAGAGTGTTCCTAAATCCTATTTCTAAATGAGATTATTGATCAAACTGTTATATTTATTTTCCAGTCATTGGTGATGAGATCTTGAAAGGCCAAACACTTGATACCAACTCACACTTTATCTGCACTGAACTCTACAAGCTGGGGGTCAGAGTTGAAAGGGTATGGATGATGTGTCATATAATTTGTTTTACTATTCCTCGGAATGGGAGACGGTTTCGGTGATTAGTCTGCCTGCCCCATTCCTGGCACCTTGTAAATGCTCATGGGAATCATGATAATGTTTTTAAAAAAAATGATTTTCATCCTTTGTTTTGTCCGATTTGTTCTTCTATGTAATTCTTTTGTACACTTTGTTTTGCTGAATAAATAATAATAATTATAATGGTAATTGCAAATGTAGCTCTTCATAGATCATGTACATCATGGTCTACATCATTTTACATGTATATAGAACAATATTTATGTTACTTCTAATACCAGGGCTCGATACTTTCAAGTGCCTAGGACACACAGGCTGTGAAATCTAAGTCTGCACCCCCCCCCTCTCTTTTTAAAAAGTTTATTCAGAAGCTCAAAGGCAAAGACAGAAAATAGGAGCTGATGCATACAGATGCTAAATTTTCTATGTTTAAATCATGATGTACTTCATTTAAAAAGATAATACTTTTGATGTTTATGTAATGAAAACTTTTTAAAAGCCACATCCTACAATACATTCTCACGGAATTTCAAAAGTAACAGGCTCAAGACCAAATGGCAGTCTATGGAAAACTTGGGAAAATATTCTGTCAAGACTTTTGGACCTTTTTTTGTGGACATAAGAGATTGGATGTCCTGGAATAGGGAAGTAGAAGTAATTGAACATCCCACATTGTTGGAAACACAGACAATAAAAAGAGAGTACGGTATGAGGAATGATAAAATGTGTTAATACAGTCAAACCTGCTTTAGCGACCACCTGTATAGAAAGACCATCTGTCTATAAAGATCATATTTTTTGTTTCCCGTGAAAGTGGTTTCTCATCGAAACATACTAAAGGAACCTGTGCATAAAGACCACCTGCCTGTAAATACCCCTTTTCTTGTCTCCCTTGAGCGGTTTTCATATACAGGTTTCACTGTATTAAGTTTGCATACAGTGTAACTTATTTTCCTAACAAACATTTTCTCTAGGTCTCTGTAATCCATGATGATTTATCAGTTATTGCTGAAGAGGTTGCTTCTTTCTCCAAACGCTACACACATGTTATCACATCAGGGGGCATCGGGCCTACGCATGATGATGTCACTTTTGAAGGTCAGTTAAATTTCTCTTTGTTGTAGAGGTGTTGTGGTCCATTGGATGTGGGAGTGTCGTGATGCAAAGGGCGAGGGTTCGAATCCCGACACGGCACTAATATCCTTTGGCAAGGTATTAACCTGCACTTGCTACTCTCCACCCAGGTGCTAAATGGGTACCCGGCAGGATGCCACTGTCATTGTTGGTCAAACAGTTTTTGAGTGTCAAGTAACGCCTGGCTGGAATGCTCCCCAGGGAGTGGAGATTGTGCACACAGTGTACGCGGGCAATCTCTGAATCCAATGACCGGGGTAATAGTATATTTGTAAAGTGCTTAGAGACATTTGTATTAAGCGCTATATAAAAGCTAAATATTGTTATTATTATTATAAGGCTCCGGACTGTGAACCACAAGGTACAGGGTTCCAATCCTGCCGCGGCACTAATGTCCTTTGGCAAGCCATTAATCTACATCCGCCACACTCGACCCAGGTGTAGTAAGTGGGTGCCTGGTAGGATTCATTCCTTGAATGCATTGAGCGCTACGGTTGCAGGAGGTAAAGCTAGGGGTAATAATATCCAAATTCCTTTGGACTTGCATAGAGACGTTATTATAATGCGATATGTGCTACATGAGAACAGCGTATTATTATTATTATTATTTGTTGTTGAACAACTACACAATATTCCACTCTCCTTTTCACAGGACCTTCTTGATACATGTATAGTGATTCTCCGGCGGGACCTCTAATTACTGAGGGTGTTTCACAAAGATCCTAAGTTGAACTTATCTCTAAATTGGACCGAACAATTATTATTATCCTTGAAAATAGTTTGTAAAAGTTATTTCAAAAGGCATACCATGTTGATTCAAATCATTCATATTTTCTATTATGGGAGATTTCATGTTCTTGATGTGGAATTTACGAAAAGTCTAACATACTTGAATTTTCACTTTTGAATATATTTCATTACAAGGCTACAAATGGCTCTCCATAATATTTAAGTCCAACTTAGAGTTAAGTTCGAAAAAGAATCCTTGTGAAACACCCCCTGGTCTATGGGAGTGGTTTAAGGAGCTTGACTTGAAGATGCGAAGGGCGAGGGTTCGAATCCCGACACGGCACTAATATCCTTTGGCAAGGTATTAACCTGCACTTGCTACTCTCCACCCAGGTGCTAAATGGGTACCCGGCAGGATGCCACTGTCATTGTTGGTCAAACAGTTTTTGAGTGTCAAGTAACGCCTGGCTGGAATGCTCCCCAGGGAGTGGAGATTTAGCACACAGTGTACGCGGGCAAGCACTGAATCCAATGACCGGGGTAATAGTATATTTGTAAAGTGCTTAGAGACATTTGTATTAAGCGCTATATAAAAGCTAAATATTGTTATTATTATTATAGGGCTCCGGACTGTGAACCACAAGGTACAGGGTTCCAATCCTGCCGCGGCACTAATGTCCTTTGGCAAGCCATTAATCTATATCCGCCACACTCGACCCAGGTGTAGTAAGTGGGTGCCTGGTAGGATTCATTCCTTGAATGCATTGAGCGCTACGGTTGCAGGAGGTAAAGCTAGGGGTAATAATATCCAAATTCCTTTGGACTTGCATAGAGACGTTATTATAATGCGATATGTGCTACATGAGAACAGCGTATTATTATTATTATTATTTGTTGTTGAACAACTACACAATATTCCACTCTCCTTTTCACAGGACCTTCTTGATACATGTATAGTGATTCTCCGGCGGGACCTCTAATTACTGAGGGTGTTTCACAAAGATCCTAAGTTGAACTTATCTCTAAATTGGACCGAACAATTATTATTATCCTTGAAAATAGTTTGTAAAAGTTATTTCAAAAGGCATACCATGTTGATTCAAATCATTCATATTTTCTATTATGGGAGATTTCATGTTCTTGATGTGGAATTTACGAAAAGTCTAACATACTTGAATTTTCACTTTTGAATATATTTCATTACAAGGCTACAAATGGCTCTCCATAATATTTAAGTCCAACTTAGAGTTAAGTTCGAAAAAGAATCCTTGTGAAACACCCCCTGGTCTATGGGAGTGGTTTAAGGAGCTTGACTTGAAGATGCGAAGGGCGAGGGTTCGAATCCCGACACGGCACTAATATCCTTTGGCAAGGTATTAACCTGCACTTGCTACTCTCCACCCAGGTGCTAAATGGGTACCCGGCAGGATGCCACTGTCATTGTTGGTCAAACAGTTTTTGAGTGTCAAGTAACGCCTGGCTGGAATGCTCCCCAGGGAGTGGAGATTTAGCACACAGTGTACGCGGGCAAGCACTGAATCCAATGACTGGGGTAATAGTATATTTGTAAAGTGCTTAGAGACATTTGTATTAAGCGCTATATAAAAGCTAAATATTGTTATTATTATTATAAGGCTCCGGACTGTGAACCACAAGGTACAGGGTTCCAATCCTGCCGCGGCACTAATGTCCTTTGGCAAGCCATTAATCTACATCCGCCACACTCGACCCAGGTGTAGTAAGTGGGTGCCTGGTAGGATTCATTCCTTGAATGCATTGAGCGCTACGGTTGCAGGAGGTAAAGCTAGGGGTAATAATATCCAAATTCCTTTGGACTTGCATAGAGACGTTATTATAATGCGATATGTGCTACATGAGAACAGCGTATTATTATTATTATTATTTGTTGTTGAACAACTACACAATATTCCACTCTCCTTTTCACAGGACCTTCTTGATACATGTATAGTGATTCTCCGGCGGGACCTCTAATTACTGAGGGTGTTTCACAAAGATCCTAAGTTGAACTTATCTCTAAATTGGACCGAACAATTATTATTATCCTTGAAAATAGTTTGTAAAAGTTATTTCAAAAGGCATACCATGTTGATTCAAATCATTCATATTTTCTATTATGGGAGATTTCATGTTCTTGATGTGGAATTTACGAAAAGTCTAACATACTTGAATTTTCACTTTTGAATATATTTCATTACAAGGCTACAAATGGCTCTCCATAATATTTAAGTCCAACTTAGAGTTAAGTTCGAAAAAGAATCCTTGTGAAACACCCCCTGGTCTATGGGAGTGGTTTAAGGAGCTTGACTTGAAGATGCGAAGGTCGAGGGTTCGAATCCCGACACGGCACTAATATCCTTTGGCAAGGTATTAACCTGCACTTGCTACTCTCCACCCAGGTGCTAAATGGGTACCCGGTAGGATGCGACCGTCATTGTTGGTCAAACAGTTTTTGAGCATCATGTAACCCCTGGCTGGAATGCTCCCCAGGGAGTGAAGATTGTGCACACAATGTGTGCGGGCTAGCACTGAATCCAATGACCGGGGTAATAGTATATTTGTAAAGCGCTTAGAGACATTTGTATTAAGCGCTGTACAAAAATTTAATATTATCATTATTATTATTATTTGCAGGTGTAGCCAAGGCCTTTGGAGAGGAGATAGTCCCACACCCTGAGCTGGTGAAGTTATGTAAAGATTACTTTGGTGCCAACAGCTCACTGGACTCACCGCAACTCAAGATGGCTCTGGTAAGAGGGAAAAAATGAGGACAGAGGAGCTAGGGTATAGGGAGGGAGAGAGAAAGAGAGAGAGAGAGTGAAAGAGATAGAGAGATGTGAGAAATTGATAAGCGGAGACAAGGTAGAGAGCGAAAGACAGATTGGAAACAGAATGGAATAAGGAAATGACATATTGTTAAAAAACTTTGCGTTTAATTCTGTATACTTTAACAGATTGGACTGGCTTTGTATCATAGCTGCCCAAAATGTCCCATTTCTACCAAGCACCCATGTCAGCTGCCTAAATGCATAACTGCACAATTTCTCTTAAAATATAAAACATCATTTTGTAGTCTTCATATTAAGCAAAGCTCATGAATACCCTGACAAAGCACATAACTGCGTCAGTCAGAAAATAAAGTAAGTAACAAACATCAGTATTTATTAGTCTTCTCCATAGCATTGCATATCGATGCAGTAAAAATAATGAGGAAGAATCTAACGACCGAACGACCGCACTGAAATTTTCTGAAGCTTTTCTGAAGCAAAAACTGCATTTTATGTACTGGATTTTATTTACTGGAATTATTTTGACTTTATATCTGCAATTGCATATTGTGATACTTTCTGGATGATTTCATGGATTTCTAACCTCAAATTTATGGATTTTATGTGGTTTCGTCAAAGTTTTGCGACTACCCCAAATGTGTTGGCTATGTACACCGTACAGCTGTCGTAGACCCGCACTTGACAATATATGTTCTGGAACTTCTGGTACGTAACTCTTGAACCTGGCCTGTGCATTTTGTTATAATGTGATATTTTTGACAATTGCATTTTGGAATGCACCTAAAGATTATATCCTGGGTCAACTACATTATCTGACTTTTCACCTTTCTTGATATTTATGATTTTAATGAACCATTTCATAACACCGCTTATAATATCTCTGCTATCCCAAACTTCAGCTTCCTGTGACTTTTATGTTACATATTGCAACTTTGGATATACATAGGCCTTGTCCGTTGTCTGTGTATTGGCTTAATTTTCCACCATATCTTCATATTTTACTTCATTTTGTCATCTAAATCGCAAAGCTTCTACACCCTTTTGCATTTTACCGCCATCATGCCTTCAGATTCATCACGTGATACGGAGAAATCCGTTGCTAATGACGCTATCCAGCGGTACATAAAGGGAGAAGAATTTCTTAATTCAATCCGACAAACAGTCCGTGAAGCCCTTCATGAAGAGATCAACGTGCTTTTGAATAGAATTGATATAAATGAAGGGAAGATCATGGACCTAGAATGTTGTTTCAATGAAAGGGAGAAGGAGATCGTTGATCTAAAAAAGTTGATTGAAGACCAACAATCATCGCTGACCAGGGTCCAGCGCACAGCCAACATCCAAGAACAATACTCGCGACGCAATTGTTTGCGTTTTTACGGTGTCGCACACAAAGAGGGAAAGGACACTGATGACCTCATTTGTGAGCTTGCTCGAGAAAGGCTCAAAGTGACCTTGAAGAAAGAGGACATCGAACGATCACACCGCCTGCCTACAAAGACTACGGAATCTGTGAATCCCCCTGCCCGTTCAACAAGAAGCAACAAACGCAATGACGGAACAAAACCTGACGTCATCATCGCTAAATTTGTGTCGTACCGTATGCGGAGTCTTGTCTTGTCAAAGTGACGCGAACTGAAAGGCACAAGAATGGGGATCGACGAGGACCTTACCAAGACAAACGCTAACTTACTAGCAAAAGCGAAAAATTATGAGAAGACACTTACCGCATGGTCTTCCGATGGCAGAATACTCGGCCTCTTCCCAACAAGTGGAGGCAAACAAATTAAACGATTAATTACGAGCGAAAATGACTTAAAGTGACTATTAAAGACTTTTCTCTAGCACTGAAGCTATCACTGACTCTACAGAGACCCATTTCCCCATTGTTATCAATCATGCAATTACTGTGGTGCATTCCAAATCTGCAGTACTCTGTACTCTTAGAACATTTTTTTTTTTTTTTTTTTTATGTAATAGTAGTAATAACTTTGGTTTTGTGAATATTTATTCTTGTGTATTTATGTGTATACGTGTGAATGATGACCCTTCGGGCATCATATGAACGTGCGATCAGTAATGTTGATTTGAGTACAGTTTCCCATATTTTGTCACCTATGATTGGAGATAATGAGACGTTTGGAATAGATCAATCTTTTTATTTGCCTGATGACCTTAATTCTACCCTTTTGAAATATTCTTTGAACTCGACAAATTTTTCCATATTACATATGAATTGTCGTAGTATTCTAAGTAACTTTGATGGTATTTCTGCTTTGTTAAATAGTCTGAATTTTCAGTTTTCTGTTATGGGCGTAACTGAAACTTGGCTGAAAGACAACTCATTATTGTGCAATATTCAAGGTTTTAGCTTTTTACATAATAGTAGAGCTGAGAGGAGAGGAGGGGGTGTTGGTGTGTTCATTCGGGAAAATCTGATTCATAAACATAGAGGTGATTTAGATATTAACAATGGAGTAATAGAAAGTATATTTATTGAAATAGAGAATGTATGTAATAAGAACATAATTATAGGAGTAATTTATAGGCCACCTGATCAGTCTGTGCAAGAATTTTTAGATATAACTGGTTCAGCTCTTCATAAAATAAACACACAGAATAAAATTGTATATCTGATGGGAGATTTCAATATTAATCTATTAAATACCACATCTTGTCATAAAGCTAATGACTTTTTAAATATGCTGGTAACTTTTTCTATGTATCCACTCATTCATCACCCTACTCGGGTGACCGATCGTTGTGTTTCTTTATTAGATAATATTATTACTAAGGGGAGCCTTCCAAAGTTGCGACTGTGCCGCGACGCGTCGGGGCGCAGAGCAGGATATGAGAACAAAGGAGGCGCCTTTATGCGCCCATTAGCGCCTTTTTGCGTCGGATAGGAGAGGACTTCAGTTGGTTGCCAGCTCATTAAAATCTGGCTATTGTTTGGAGTCTCATTGTTACGAAATTACCCCGCCAGGGCGCGCCCCGGTGAAGCACTTGACATTTGTGAATGGGAGCTTAAACTTTGAATAGCTTTCGCGCCCTTTCGCGCCCGGTCCGGCGCATTAGTTATTCATGTAGTGCCCGCTTGTGTGTCGCTCTCGTCTTGCGAGATTTGACTCTGAAAAGCATTACTTTGGCTACTGATTTGTTTTAATATTATTTTACGTACATGACATTGGTTACAATGTTTGTTTATTTTCCTCTCAAAATCGGAGTTCTGTAGGCGTTAACGTTGGCATGATTGTTCATTTTTTCATCTCCTCCTGTTCTGTTCATGATTGTGTTCAATATACTGTATTATACAACACCTACGTGGATCCTTGTTATTTGATTGGACGATTGTTGGTCACATGATATTCAATAGATGGTATATTGCACGGTCGTGCATTTTTGGTTATATGCGCCGTGCATTTTTGGTTATATGCGCCGTGCATTTTTGGTTATATGCAGACTGCGTATCTCTCTGCTGCATGTGCGCGCGCGTATCCCTGCGTGTATCTGACGCGAAGGCAATCTGCATGTAATTGAGAAGGCTTGACTCGAACTTTAATTTATCTTTATAAGGAGTAAAGCATAATTTGTTGATTAACGTTCTATTAGGTCTTCTTCGATGTTGTATAAAACAAATAATGAATGTTTTTCATTCGTTTAATAGTGCAAATATTTTCATTCGTTGAAAGATTAACGTTAATTCTATTCAACTCGGCTGACGCCTCGTTGAATAGAATGTTAATCTTTCAACTCATGAACATATTCGCACTATTGAACTCATAACCATTCATTATTTGTATATCAATTTTAATACAAATTGATTTGTTCAAAAAAACAAATTTATTTTATACTTACCCCACTCTCTCTGACATTGTTTTCCTCGTGCATGTTTTGACACTTTAATTGTAATTTTATATTTCCTCATAGCGATGTTATCGCATGTTTCGATTTTCTTGTTTTTTTTAAAAACAATTTTTGTTGCATCTTGTAAACAGTTCTGTCGTATAATCATTATAAATCATATAATTATATCATCAGTCTGTTATTTCAATACATAGATCCTTTGAATCTTCTTAAAATTAGAGAACGATTTTAAAATCCGTGATGTTGAAAATGATACTTAATCAAGAATGTCATAGTTTCTCCTTGAATTGGATTTAAAAAGCGTTTTATCTGTATTACGATTTTTTTTAAGCAAATGATATCCGTATTGTCGGGAACATCATCAATATGTTTCGTTAGAAGGAAGACGCTCATTTTCAGAATGTTCTTTCTTTGCAAAACACTAATGTTACGAACAAAATTAAATACACTGTACCCGTATCATCGGGAATATCGCAAAACTCCCAGGGAGATTATCAAATGCAAATCAACATAGTAAATTATGCCTAAATCGTAAGAATAGAGCTACATTAACAAAGAAGAGAGTTACCAGGAAATGATGTTTGAAATTTCACCCCAAACATATCTCAAGAAGAAATTAGTTTATCATTCTGTGTCAAAGAATTTTATCGAATATTTCTTTGCGACGAAGGGGGGGGGGGGGGGGGGGTTACATCCGCGGCCAGTTTTAGATCTAGGTCATTGTTAAGAATAACTAAAATGCGTATATATTGTGCTGAATAGGGGCCACATGTTATCGAAAGAGCGTAGTACGTTCTAGAACAAATACAAGCCATGGCATTTCGTTGAATTGCTTCTCGTAACAGAACTGTCTCACTGTCTAAATAAGGATCCATCCGGGGGATCCATCATGCACGTGTTGGTAAACGGAATTAATAATGATTGGGTTGTTTTGGGACATTTTTTTTTCGGGGGGGGGGGCAGGGTAGCCCTTATTCTTCTTCTACTGGGTCATCAAGAAACACAAATAGTGTTGAAATTTTCCGCAATCCCTTTAGCGCCGAGGGTAGAAAAGCCTTTAGAAAACTCAGCTGGACAATAGCAATTTAATGTTG